CATGATTATTATGGTAGCTCTTCCTGAGTCAGTTAGACTTTTGACGATTGTATTATTCAAGACCACGTTGTCGTTGAATCTAAAGCGGAGAGCTTCTTATAGTTTTGAGTAAAAAGTAAATAGCGTGGGGTACTTGATATGTTAAATCGTGTTTTTTTAGTTTTTTTAAACTATTATTTTTATATATTTTAGTGTATTAACGTGTGTGTTGAATGTGTCTTATTTGTTTTATTTAGAATTAATGCCGAGTGTGTACTTTTTTGTGCACTTCAAGCTTTTCTTTTTTTTATTTGACGTATGTGGGTGCTTTTGCATGCCCAACATCAATAAAGATTGTTATTATTATATATTTTCAGTTATAAATATTTATTATTTTGTAATTAGTCAATTTTATTTTGTGTATTAGCTCACGAGACCAGATTGGAACGGTTCAAAAATGAACATAAACAACAAGCACAGACAAAACTTTGGCCATGAATCCAATTCATGAGGAAATCTGTTTACTTATTGTCAATGTAAAACATATACAGGGTGGCGCATCGAAAACGAAACAGACGCATTTACTGGCAGCTCAGTTTTTTTTTTGAAAAACGCTCGGACCCGTCGATTTTGTTTTCGAGGGGGACACAAGTTTGGAAATAATCACGTTAGCACGTGCAGCCCCCTAAGCGGGGGTGACACCACCCCCAAAATCTTAAATGGAAAGGGGGGTCGAGTGATACCTCATTTTAAAGGTCTTTCAATTCCCTTTACAATGATATAAAATTAATGTACTTCAGTTCAGTAGTTTTGAAGATTTATTGATTTAAAGCTTAAATAAAACTAATACATCATCATTAGTGGAGATCAATACATTTGGCAGCTAAGTAATTTAAAAATGAAGAATGAACTGACCTGTTAGGCAAGTAAATGTTGAAAATGGCCACCATGACTCTGATAATAAAGATTTTGCTCAAAACGTTGCCGCACATTTTGCAATATTTGAGGAGTAATTTGAAGGCACTCATTCACAATTCTTTGTCTTCTAATGATGTTAGCTGAGTAGCATAGATTTTGCTTTTTAAATGACCCCACATAAAGAAATCCAAAGGTGATAATCTGGCGATCTTGGGGGTCATTCAATGGCACCTCTTCTACCAATCCATCGATCTGGAAACGTCTGATCTAAATATTTTCGAACACGTAATGCGTAATCTGTGGTGGGGCACCATCCTGTTGGAACATCAACCCATTCGCAATGTACCGCCGATCATTCTGATTTTCAATTATGGCTGTTAATGCAGGATCTATGGCGTCTTTCAGTAATTCCAAATACATTTCACCGGTCAAATTTCCAGGTAAGAAAAAAAGACCTACTAAATGATCGCCAAAAATACCAGCCCAAATATTTAATTTTTGTGGCTGCTGTGTATGATCCTCATGTTAAATTCTGGGATTAGAATCGGACCAATATCGGCAGTGATGACGATTTACTACGCCATTTAAGAAAAAGGAACATTCGTCGGAAAAGCAAGTATTGAATAGAAAATGTTCATCGTTTATAATTCGTTCACTCATATCTTCACAAAATTGTAATCGCAGATCAAAATCGTCTTCATTAAGTTCTTGTCCAGGTGAATTTTATACGGATGAAAACTATGGGCCTTCAGAATCCGTTGGACAGTACGTCGACTAACACCACACACAGTCTCCAATTTGCGGGTACTTAACGTAGGATCTACATAAACTTGCCCTAAAACCCCCACTTCTATTGCTTCGTTCCTTATGGGATTTTCAATGTTGCGTTTTTTATTTGCGACTGACCCAGTTTCCAGAAATTTAGCTACAAGTTCTAGAACATATTTTCGATGCACGTTACTGATCTCATGTCGCTCATTAAATGTTTCTGCTGTTCTATTAACGCACTGATTATTTCCGAAAAATATTTCGATAATTTCAACTCTTTCTGCTGTGGAATATACCATGGTTAATTTATGTAATAAAGCGTTACAAGTTATTTTAGCAACAAAGTTTGGTCAAATCAATTACAAACTATGTACTGAGTACGAGATATTTCCTTATCTTTCTTCAAGAAATAACTTTTTTGCCACAAAAAAACGCTCCAGTAGCTATTTTCAACAACAAAATGATAAACAAACCATGGGCGTAGTGAAGAAAAGCATTTATTTATTAAGTAAATTCTTTTAGTCAAATTTCTTCTGAAAGTAGTACAAACTAATCTGATGTACCTATTAAAGTCTACTTTAAGCTTTAAATCAATAAATCTTCAAAACAACTGAACTGAAGCTCATGTATTTTACATCATTATAAAGGGAATTGGAAGACCTTTAAAATAAGGTACCACTCGACCCCCATTTAAGATTTTAGGGTTGGTGTTACCCCCTCGGGTCTGAGCGTTTTTCTAAAAGAAAAAAAAACTGATCTGCCAGTAAATGCGTCTGATTCGTTTTCGATGCGCCACCCTGTATATGGAATTTTTAATTGTGAGCGCAGTATAGCGGTATTTTCATATATGTTCTGAATTTTAGTGTGGTTAGTTATAGGTTTGATGCAGAGAGGGTTGCGCCCAAACAAAAATAGCCAAGATTGGAAAATTGGTGAATTTTGGATAAACATTTTAGCTTTTAAAAAATAGTCACTAAAACAAAAAGAATGTTGGTAAAAGTTCAGTATGCATATGTTTTAAAATACTTAAGTACAAATACTCCATAGATGGGATTTAGTTGACGGCCGAAAAGCCCTCTTATAGACCCCGACCCTGTCAACATTCTTTGGCAGGTAAGGTTTTTTCTTAGCTTATGTCGTTTCATGCGCCTTGTATAATTTTTTCCACCGCGTATATTTCGTCTTATGAGAACAAAGTCTGAAAATTTCACAAATCAATGTATTATTAATCATGTATCAGTTGAAACTGTTTAAAAATGAATGAGCAATAGTTTGGTTTTATATATAATAATGATTTTCTCTTCTAAGAGAATTACCAACGATACGGAATCCCAATTGATATAATTGAAAAAATTGCACAATTAGGCGAAAGGTGAGTCATAGTTCGAGAGGCTTAGAGACATGCTTTTAGTAACGTCACATATAATAATCATCTCAAGTCAGAACACTGCGATCAGAAAAACTGCGTGTAAATTTTATTTTCAGTTTAACATGAAAATCAGAGGTAAGTATGGTTATAATACACACCCCAGCCTGAAAAAGAAGCACCTTTGTACCCATTCAATATTTGTGTAACAATATCGCTATCATGCATTTTTTTTAATTTATGAGCTCAGGAGAGCATAATGTTAGTACCGTTCTAATATATTTACTACTACGAGCCCCTTCCTACTTCAGTTGGCCCACTTCAAGATTTGTACCAAAATATGCTTTTATAAACTAAACATGACGAAACTATTTACTTCTAAAACAATTTATTTTCTCAAAAACATTTTAGATACACTCTAGGCGTAAAAAATACATATTTGAAATCACTCAGACCTATAACTAATAGAACATCTCAACAAATAAACAATGTGCGAATAAATGCGCGAAGTAAACAAGCAACAATTGAAATATTACCATTGGGTAACATCTCCTTTATTTCTTATTACGGCTGAAATTCTTTGGGGCATAGTGTTAACTAAGTTTTGGCAAAAATTTGGTGTAAAACAATCCCATATTTCTTGAACCTTTTGTCTCAGTTCAATGATTGTACGAGCAGGATGTGGTCGTAGAACCTTTTCCATCTCGTGCCACAAAGTTTCAATAGGTGACAGATCTGGACTGCTAGAAACCCATTTCAAAAGTGGTACATTATTTTCTTCCATCCATTTTATAGCCTTTTTTGAGATATGGCACGCTGCACTATCTTGCTGAAACACAAAATCTTGGCCGGATGTCAAACATTCTTCCATCACTGGTAAAAGCGATTCTTCTAAAATTGCCAAAAATTTGTTTGTATCCACATTTCCATCAATAAAATGAAGTTTTCCTACTCCTTTTGATGACATACCGCCCCAGACCATAATGGATGCTGGAAATTGTACTTTTCTCTTCCGAGAGTCAACATGGAATGCTTCATTTTTTTTGCGAATAACTCTACTTTTTTAGTGGAGTTAATAGTGGCTTTGCTTTGGCCTATAAACAAGTTGTGCAACTTTAGGGTTCTTACTTCACTTTTTTTTATAAGAAAACTTAGCTTGCAAGTGCTAAATCCCAGTTCGTGGGTCTCTCTATGAGTTGTGGACCTCGAAATTCTCCTTCCAACAGCGTCACTCCACAGAGCACTTAATTGTAAATAATTGGTACGCCTGTTTTTCACGATTATTCTTAATGCTCTTCGGTCGGCATTTGTGATATTACTTTTTTCACATATCGTGGCTTAATATTAACTGAACCAGTTATGTTATATCTTCTAACAATATTTCTCACACTGTACGGCAATAAGTCTAACAAAGTTGCAATTTCTGAGTTTGATTTCCCAGAATTAAAGAATTTAATTATCAGTAACCGAATTTTCTCACTAATAACCTTTCCTCTACCCATTTTGAAAACCTTAACTACCCAAAACAATTTTAAACGTATTCTGACAGCTGTGATTTATAAAAACAATTGTCATGGCTTTTATTTTTCACAGCCACCTATGCGTTATAGACTTATTTTGCATTGAAATGAAAATAGGTTGATATGCTGTAATTGCAACATGTGTTATTTTTATGCTGCAAATTTGATTATGGAGTAGTAAAGTTGGTGTTTTCTACTATATATTGTCAAAATATTCATTGTTAATATTTTAAACCTATAACACCCTGCTACATTTTTATTATTTGTGTTTGATAAGAAAAAAACTAAGATTTCAATAGTTGAGCCAACTGAAGTGGGAAGGGGCTCGTAGTTTACACTTGCCCGGAGCTACTCTTTCCGTAATGGAAATCAGAAAAATAATTCATAAACCCTTCGAAACGGGAGGGAAGCGGTATTAGAACAGAGTTATGGAATAATGGTCTGATAGTGATAATTTTTATTCATTCTATTGAATATAATTCAAGTAGCAGGATTTGTACTAGCAGTAGAGGAGTTGAGAGCCTGTAGACACATGCAGCAAGATACCATAGTCTTTGAAGCCTGAAAACAAATCAGAGTACTCAAAAATCGGGCAAAACACATAAAGCTCCACACACTTGGAGCTTTAGAATTTTCTGAATGCCATCAACGGCGTTCAAAAATTCAAAAAAAGCAATAACGTTTCCGTACGTCCCAGTCTTCGTTAAGGGTTCTGAAGCTTGCAAATTTAAACATTTCTGGATTGAAAAAAATATTCGAATGAATGAAACAAGATACGTAGAAATTAGTTTTTATTGACGTTTCGGCCGCTTCGATGGCCTTTTGCAAAATATGTTCAGTATGTTCACTTAAGGACGATATATCGTGGATTTCTGCAACATAAACTTTATAAAATGACTAACTTGTACTAAGTGACATATAAATCCGAACACCCAGTTTAAATGGTTTTATTTTAATAAAATTTTGTATAAGTACTTAATGAAGCATAATAAGTAAATGATATTTCAAAATGATTGCACTGCTTTAAAGCCCTTTGACCTTCAATAATGTGTGGATGCACCCTGATGTGCTACGCATTCTCCAACGCGCCTAGGCATGCTTCTGATCAGGTGGTCAATGTCCTCCTGTGGTATCTCATTCCAGGCAACCACCAACTCCTCTCGAAGTGCTTCTAGAGTCTGAGGAGGACGTTGCAAATTGAGCAATCTCCTACCCACCATATCCCACACGTGCTCAATTGGGGATAAGTCGGGAGATCTTGGTGGCCATGGTAACAATGTGACATCATTATGTTGAAAGAAGTCTATTGTGACTCTTGCAACATGTGGTCGGGCATTATCTTGTTGGAAAGTTGGATCTGCCAGGGTGTCAAGATAGGGTAAAAGATGGAGTTCTAGAACTTCGTGGATATAACGCTGCGCGTTCATGTTACCTCTGATGAAGATTAAAGGTGACCTGGTGCCATAAGCTATAGCACCCCAAACCATAACTCCAACAGTGTGATGAACATGTCTTGCAACAAAAAACTGTGGATTCCTCCTTTCACCACGTCGCCTTCTAACCCTGGCACGACCATCGTGCATGCCTAAACAAAATCGTGACTTGTCACTAAAGACAATACTGTTCCATTCCTGATCCCAGAGTCACCGTTGTCTGCACCACTCAAGGCGATTACCTCGGTGTTCTCGAGTTAAAAGGAGGACCCAGTGTGGCCGGTATGAAAACAAGCTAAAACTTCTCATTCGTCGGTAAACACTTCGCATGCCAATAGGTCTTCCGTGTTCTGCACACCATTCATTTGCAATGGACCTGGTAGTGGAGAAACGGTCCCTTAAGGCCAATAATCTTAGGCGGCGATCTTCACGGTCTGTTGTTCAAACTCACTAAGTTGACGAAATCGTACAGGTCTCCGTACTCTAGGCATCGTAACCGTACGTACAGGATGTCAAGAACCAGAATCCGCCAACGTTGATTCTTTACTGCGGCTGAAATATTCATTTTTAGAGCGTTAGTGAATTAAAAAAAAGCAGTATAAAAACCGGAATGTCTAACTGATAAGGCTGAAAATGTTTTCACTTGTTATTTACAGTAAGATAAATACATTCACCAACTTTTATTAAAATAAAACCATTTAAACAGGGTGTTCGGATTTATATGACACTTAGTATATTTCTGTTTTATTGGCAAATGTTTGGAAAATAAGTATTACCGTTATGTCTGATATGTGCCAAGTATTACTGAGAGCAGAAGTTTTAAAATAATAATAATAAAAATAATAATCATAAAGTTTATTGAGGAAAAAATACTATTAAGGGACAAAAGAAAAAAAGCATATCCCGTAATAAACATACACAGCACCACAAGAAGCAAATGCTTGTGTATGGGGGAATATACTCATTGAGGTCGTACACTTTCAACTTATCATTACCCTGCTAGCACATTTTTAGCTAAATGTTGTTGCATATCAACAAAATATAACGATAAAGGCTACTAGAATATACAACAATTTTTTTAATTTCTAAAAACCTACATCTAAAAAACAGAGATATAAAAGTATTACCTAACCAATGATTTACTTATTTGTTAAAACAACTATAAATTCTTTTAAAGATACAAAAGACAAAGAAACAGTAATGAACTATCTATTAAAACAACAGTAGATAAGTCAAACATTTATATTATACAGGGTGTTTCAGTTTATTGTTGCATAACTTTAAGATTCGATAGAACTTTTAAAATTAATGCATAAAGTCTATATAAACATGGGTCGGAAAATGGGATGTTTAAATTTACTTTCTAAAATAGTTTTTTTTAAATATTTCGAACAATATTTGATGTATAAAAGTGAAAATTGGTATACAAGGGTTTTTTGGTACGACAAAACGAACCATAGTTTTACTGTAGCCGCTAGAGGGCGCTCTCTACTGTACCTGTAGTGTATTAAAATGACCGGAAATTTTTTCTTAGTGCAATTTTTTGCTTTTTGAATAAAAAAGCTGATTCTTCGCACTTTTCAACATAAGAAAGCTGTCGTGTGAGTTTTCGTTATAGTTAGCCGTTTTTGAGATATTTCGATTTTTAAGGTTCGATGCATTTTTAATTATTTATGGGAAAATAATATTTTTTTTTACATTTTCGATTTGGGCATTACAAGTAATTAAGATGATCGTTTAGATTGTGTTTTTAAACACAGCAATAATTCCTAACTCCAAATAAACAAAAAAAAATAGAATATTAATTTGTTTAATTTTCCAATATTACTTTTAACAAATTAAATTAATTATTTACAACTAAAATGCTATTGGATAGTTAGGACAAACATATAAAATCTAAAGTAGTTGCTCGAAATGTAAACCCAATTCACATCTACGAATGATCGAACGTGGTATAGCATTATTCAAATAAGGTCTTATTTCATCACATACATTCCTGATTCTGTCTATATAGCATATCTCTTGTGATTACGGGAGTCTGGTACACCTTTTCTTTTGGTAACGAAGATGTTTTTCTTATTTCATCAGGCAGGAAGTAATATAACCGACTGGCGACATACGTATAGCATCTTTGTCCTATTTTTTTGGTGTACAAAGGAGCCTTGCTTATTTTATTAATTTTGTTCCTAGTCGAATCAGAATATTGTATCAGTACTAACTTATGTTTGTTTTTAAATTGATATACCAATATGCTGAACGAAAACAATTGCCGAACATCTAGAATTTCTGCATCTCTATACAGCTGTTCTGACGGATAAAGTCTGTTTTTATTATAAATTATTTTACAAAATTGTTTTTCTAAAACCTTAAGTTTTGCTAAGTGAACGGTTAGAGCGCCGCGCCCCAAGCTAATAAACCATATCGCAATCTATAATTTTCATGATCTTTTTATCTAGATAATTACTTGGATATTTTATTTTGAATAACAGACGTCTCAAGGTCAAGTAATGTGATAAATACATTTCATGTGCTAATCCAAAAGTACGCCCAAAAATTTGATTTTGTAAGTAGATTCTATGATTTCGTGAGTATTTCGTGAGTATATAATCATAAAACATGTTTCGCTGATAACACAAAACATGCCCAACACAACCAACCAACCCTTAATTATCAACCCGTCCAAAAATTTAGAAAAATGTACAGGAGACTCTAAAATGTCGACAAAAGTTCCATATAACCAAATATACTAAGTGACATATAAATCCGAACACCCAGTTTAAATGGTTTTATTTTAATAAAAGTTGGCGAATGTATTTATCTTACTGTAAATAACAAGTTAAAAAAATGTTCAGCCTTTTCAGTTGGACATTCCGGTTTTTATACTGCTTTTTTTTAATTCACTAACGCTCTAAAAATCAATATTTCAGCGGCAGTAAAGAATCAACGTTGGCGGATTTTGGTTCTTGACATCCTTTACGATCGGTTACGATGCCTAGAGTAGACCTGTACGATTTCGTCAACTTAGTGAGTTTGATAGGGGCCGTATAGTGGGACTTCGGGAAGCTGGACTTTCTTTTCGGGCAATTGCAGTTAGAGTGCAAAGTGTCGTCACTGTGGTTAGGTGTTGTCAGGCATGGCTTCGAGAAGGCCGTACGCAAAGAGCAAGGGGCACTGGACGCCGCCGTAGAACAACAGACCGTGAAGATCGCCGCCTAAGATTATTGGCCTTAAGGGACCGTTTCTCCACTACCGGGTCCACCAAGTTTTAGCTTGTTTTCATACCGGCCAGACTGGGTCCTCCCTTTAACTCGAGAACACCGACGTAATCGCCTTGAGTGGTGCAGACAACGGTCACTCTGGGATCAGGAATGGAACAGTATTGTCTTTAGTGACGAGTCTCGATTTTGTTTAGGCATGCACGATGGTCGTGCCAGGGTTAGAAGGCGACGTGGTGAAAGGAGGAATCCACAGTTTTTTGTTGAAAGACATGTTCATCACACTGTTGGAGTTATGGTTTGGGGTGCTATAGCTTATGGTTCCAGGTCACCTTTAATCTTCATCAGAGGTAACATGAACGCGCAGCGTTATATCCACGAAGTTCTAGAACCCCATCTTTTACCCTATTTTGACACCCTGGCAGATCCAACTTTCCAACAAGATAATGCCCGACCACATGCAAGAGTCACAATAGACTTCTTTCAACATAATGATGTCACATTGTTACCATGGCCACCAAGATCTCCCGACTTATCCCCAATTGAGCACGTGTGGGATATGATGGGTAGGAGATTGCTCAATTTGCAACGTCCTCCTCAGACTCTAGAAGCACTTCGAGAGGAGTTGGTGGTTGCCTGGAATGAGATACCACAGGAGGACATTGACCACCTGATCAGAAGCATGCCTAGGCGCGTTGGAGAATGCGTAGCACATCAGGGTGCATCTACACATTATTAAAGGTCAAAGGACTTTAAAGCAGTGCAATCATTTTGAAATTTCTATCATTTACTTATTATGCTTCATTAAGTACTTATCAAAATTTTATTAAAATAAAACCAATCAAACTGGGTGTTCGGATTTATATGTCACTAGTATACTTGTATGACCGTATAAAAAATATGTTTCATACAAAAGTTTTGCGAGTAATATCCTTTGTATATACAGATTATCTCATAAACGAGCTATCGAATACTGATTGTAATGCCATAGTCTTACCATTAAAAACATCTCCAAGTCAATTCTAACCATGCCACCGGCTGATATAGTCACTTCCCTTTGACCCCTAGTCATTATCAATATAACAAACTTCTTGTACTCAGGATGGTCAATCCATTGGCTGAAATATGCGCTACTTCTAACCTTACTTGCCTAAAATCAGATTTGTTGTACAAAGTGAAGTGTCACCAGGATTAAACCTCGGAATCCGGGTCCACTACATTGATTTTTGAGATTTAAAATACTGTTAACCTATAATTTTTTCGAGGATTTGATTTTCAACCGGGTTTAATTTAAAAAAAAAATCATTCATTTAGGTTTATACACCTATTTATTATTAAACCGATACAGGGCGTCCCAGTTCATTTTTTCAACATTGATTTGCTTAATTTCCCTTAAGTTGTGCGATATAGATGAAATTCCCTCTCTATCAAATTTCAAATGGGTGGAATATATAGAATTCCAACCATTGGTTTGTTTGTGTATATCGTTCAGGGGTTTTAAAAGGAGCAAATATTTCCGCTGGCCTATTGCAATGTCAATCTGTAGCTATGAAAATTAACTTGAGTGGAGTGATATCCGAATTCATTCTTTCCTACTGTCGGTAGTTGCAGATCTGTTGGCTATTGGTGTCAAACCTATAGAGCAGGTACCGATTTTTTGAAATCGTCAGCACATTATTCGTCGGATTTTCGATACTTAAATTTCCTGTAATCACTGGGATCAGAAGCTACTTAGTAATAGAACGTGTTTCACTGATTTCAACCCCCCTTTTTAAGCAGTACAATTTTTTATGTCAATGATTAGGAACCCCTGAAACGTCTAAAACGGAGTTTCAGCAATTGTTATTTTTTATTTTTTGCCTATAGCACCGTTGCCACTGGACTAAAACTACAAAGCTTTGGCATACTAGTAACAGCGGTAATTTCCAAGTTGATGATGAGTGATACAGTTTTTCGTGATGTAGATGATGTCATATGACTTAAAAAGACATAACATCTCATTTTAGAAATGTTTCGCGATTACAATACTTCCTCGCCAATGACGTGGGAAGTAAAACGGCTTTAAAATCGAGGAGTATCATCGATCGCGATTATGAGTACCTATTTGGAGAACGACTTATCTACGCGATATTATATGAATTAGGGCCACCAAATTATCTGAATACGTCCTTTCTTTTTTTTTTTTTTTTTTTTTTGGCTTTAGGACCAAGCCATGCAGCCAGAAACTAGGTTGCTAAAATGTCCAGTGTTCAGATGTACAAGTAATACTATATATAATTAAGACTGGCACTACCTCATCAAAAGGTGTCAATGAATGTTAAAAACGATTTATTTTGAATAAATTATCATGATTGAATCCTAACAATTCTTAATTGTTGTTGTTAACCTAAACTCTCCAACGTCCTTTCTTAGTCCGTACATTGCGCCGCAACGCTTGGTTTGGCAGCACGAAACAGTAGACAAAATTCGTCCAAAATACGATTTGTAGATGTTTGCGCGCTACGAAATGGACGCTTTATTTTTCCGTATAACTTTTTTGTGTATTTTTATTTATGTAATACTTAAACAAACACATTTTAAGGTTTTAATATGTTATTTCTGCTGCTTTTTTGATTAAAATAAGTGTTTCTTTTAAGATGGCCATCTGCCTATAATATACTATTTGTCACAGTGTGTCCATCATAAGCAGGTTGCACCGTATTTATATAAATATAACTTTAACTTAAAAAGTAACAATTTGTAACTGATATATTAATACAGGGATGTCCAACTTAATGTGGCCCAAGGGCCACTTCACAAAAAAATGCAGTTTGGAGGGCCGCATTATAAAATCTTTCTATACCACATTACTACTGAGTTTTAATAGGTATATGCATATTCGGTATTTGAGAGTAATTTATACTTGTGATGTATACATGCTCCGTGAAGCGGGCCGCAAGAAAGAAGTTTGTAAGTATGTTGGACAGCTCTGTATTAATAAACAATGTGGAGGGATTCAATTTATAATAAACAAATGTAATATGCGGGGTTTATACTAAGTGTAAATGCAATTTTTGGCGTTTACGGAAAAACTATTATCCTTCATAAAATATTTAAAAATGTAAAATACGAGGTTTTCTTTATCTAAATATGTAGCATAAATCATGATTATTCGTTTGGTGCAAATATTTCAGTTTTTGAAATTTTTGGAGATACGGTGGAAGAATAGGAAATTACCTCAAACATCAGTTCTTGAGCAGGGTGAGCATAACACATATATATCTGGTTCATCCCAGCAAGCAAGTGTAACACTGCATCGATCTGCACAAAAGTTTTGAAGTACCTGCAAAATCAAATATCCAACATTTGTTGTTATTGTTTCATTCTGTAATGGTTGTAATACACACTGATGATACTCGTACGTTTTAAAAGTTACATTTCGGACTTCCAGTGTCTATAATATTTTCGAGATCGCTTTGTGTAGACAATATGTAGAAGTCTGAAATGAAACTTTGAAAACATCTACGTTGTTCACTAATTTTAGTCAGCAATCGTACGTTTTACGTTTTACACAGTCTTAAATGGTCATGCAAGAGGTAGTGTCTCTGATATCAAATCGGCTGTTTTGATCGTCGCGTTCCATCAATTGACATGAGTAAAATCAACGGAAGGTTGATGACGACTTAATTACAAGAAAAACGTACGAGTAATATCGACCATCGCAAGAAAGACTATTGTAACTCAGTTTCGGTTGAACACAAATACAGGCATTAGAAAATTTTCTAATGAATTTCGTTGTCTGAAAAATGTCGATCTGATCAAAAATATGTTGCACATTGCAGTGATTCTTGTATATAGACGGTCATAAATGGTATTACTATACAAACCTAGCGAAAATTACAATTTTAGTAGGATATTTATTGAAATATTATAGTATTTTTCAAACAAATGGTCGAAAAAGCTTATTTAATGCCAATCTGAGTCACTCAAATTATATTCATCTTCGTGTTCTCCACTATCATCGTTCTCAACTTTTGTATTTTCAGCACTATTATTATTATGTACTCTTTGTATTTTTGTTTGTATCTTCTTTGGCTTTTAGAGAAAAATAAAAAGCCGGTAAGGCTCAGGAATGCTAGGAATTGCTTTTGATTTAACGGGTGATTTTTTAAGAGGTATAGGATTTGATTTTCAAAAAAAAACACAAAAAATTTGAAAAAACGATTAATTCTTTATTTGAGTCGCTAGAACGGTCGATATAATTTAATGTTTAAAGATTATTTCATGTAAATGTTGGCCGCGGCTCCGCTTTAGATGGTCCATGCGCAAGGTCCAATTTTGGCACGCTCTCTCCAACATATCGGCCGGTATCTCACGAATAAATGCTTCAATATTGGCTTCCAGTGCGTCAATTGTTGCTGGTTTATCCCTGCAGACATTAGCCTTAACATAGCCCCACAAGAAATAGTCCAACGGCGTTAAATAACACGATCTAGGCGGCCAATTGACGGGCCCCAAACGTGAGATAAACTGTTCACCGAACTCGCCTCTCAATAGGACTATTGTTTCGTGTGCGGTGTGGCATGTGGCACCGTCTTGTTGAAACCACATGTCAGCCAAGTCCAGCTCTTCCATTTTGGGCAAAAAGGAGTTTGTTATCATCGCACGGTAGCGCTCGCCATTCACAGTTACGTTCCGGCCATTGTCGTCTTTGAAGAAGTACGACCCGATGATGCCACCGGCCCATAATCCACACCAAACAGTGATTTTTTCGGGATGCATTGGTAGCTCTTGCAATGCTTCTGGCTGGTCTTCACTCCAGATGCGGCAATTTTGCTTGTTAACGTACCCATTCAACCAGAAATGAGCTTCGTCGCTGAACACAATTTTTCGATAAAAATGTGGATCTTCCTCCAACTTTGCCAGCGCCCATTCACCAATTAGGAAACATTGTGGGAGGTCGTGTGGCGTCAATTCTTGCACCAGCTGTATCTTATAAGGTTTTACACCCAAATCCTGTCGCAAAATTGTCCACGTAGTGGAGTAACAGAGGTCCAATTGCTGCGAACGGCGGCGACTCGACATTTCACGGTCATCACTAACACTGGCGGATACAGCTGCAATATTTTCTTCAGTCCTCACTCTACGTCTGCGTGTTGGTGGTTTAATGTCCAATAATGTAAACTGGGTTCGAAATTTAGTCACAAGCTTCCGAATAGCTCCCTCAGTAGGCCGACCAAATTCAATAATTTCCAAGCGTTGTTCGTTCGTAAGTCGATTCATGGTTAAATTATAGACCAAACTGAACAAGTTTGACAATGACACGTATCTTGTGTTCACGCGTCATCTGTCACGCGTCTTGCCAAAAAGATACTAGCAAAAAAATCACCCATTACATAGGTCTAACAAACCATTTAACTTTCTAGCATCTACTAGAAGCAAGCTTGTGTACAGCAAAGGTAGTTCGTGAAGCGTATTGTTTTGCGGTCTCATTCTGTGATTATCAATGTTGCTATCGTGAGATCGTCAGCATAGTCACACTTATATTTCATTTCACGAGACACTTATCTTATTTATTTTCAACTTTTCTCCACAATCGTCTTTGTTACAATTTTCCGACTTTACCTTTTATTTAAAACTAATGGATTTACGACCAACCGCAGACAAGGCTCTTTACCCCTCATCAGTACGATATAGGTCTGTAATATAGGTCTGTATCAGGTCCAGACTTGGAGATGAAAGAACGAAAAGCAAACACGTGAGTGAGCAAAACCGAGAAACGTAGTAGTAGAATTCTCTGTTCAACTTTTTTATTTCACAGGCTTACAGGGTTTGTCCGGAAAGTAATAGGACTGAGTCGATTTAAAAAAAATTATTGAGCCAATCGTTACAATTCTTTAAAAACTTTCAAAATAGGCTCCTTCTGCGTCGATGCAGCGCTGCCAGCGCGATTTCCAAGCATTGAAGGCGTCACGGAGGGCATTCTTCGGAATAGCCTTGAGAGCCGCGGTGCATGCTGCTTGGATCCCCTCTGTTGTCTCAAAATGTTTGCCTTTCATCGGCCTTTTCAGGCGAGGAAACAAAAAAAAGTCCGGGGGGGGGGGGGGGGGGGGCACATCTGGGCTGTAGGGCTGCGGCGGAAGCGTTGGGATGCCGGCCTTGGTCAGGTAGCGGTTCACAAGAAAGGCGGTGTGAGCCGGGGCGTTATCGTGGTGCAACTTCCAGTCGGCTGCGATGTCTTGTCGGACCCGACTGACCCTTCGTTTGAGTCTCCTGAGCACTTCCACGTAAAACTTGGCGTTGACGGTTTGTCCATGAGGAACAAATTCATGGTGGACGATGCCTTTGATGTCAAAAAGACAATGAGCATCGTTTTCACTTTGGATTTACTGATTCTTCCCTTTTTTGGGCGAGGAGACGCCGTCGTGTGCCACTCGGAAGATTGCCTCTTTGTCTCGGGATCATATTCAAAGATCCACGACTCGTCACCTGTGATTACGTTATTCCAAAATTGGGGGTCAGTTTCACACATGTTCAAATTTTCTTGGCACACTTCCACTCGCCGCAGTTTCTGGTCGTCAGTGAGCAATTTTGGGACCATCTTCGCGCACACCTTGCGCATGTTCAAATGCTGTGTCACAATGTCGTGAACCACAGATTTTGGTAAATTTAACATCTGGGCAATTAAACGAATACTTAGTCGACGGTCTGAGTTCAAAACTTTGCCCACACGAGTCTCATTATCGGTGTTTGTCGAAGATGAAGTTCTTCCAGCACGGTCTTCATCAGCGACCTCTTCCCGGCCGTCCAAAAAGGCCTGGTGCCACCGAAACACACCACTTCTTGCTAAAGCAACACCTGGGTAAGCCTGCTTGATCATATCAAACGTCTCTGTCGCAGATTTACCGAGTTTCACACATAATTTAATCGCGTACCTCTGCTCTAACGAACGCTTGCACCACTCACAGAAGCACGTCGCGCGAAAATGCCTGTCCTGACTCTCCAAGTGCCCAGAGACAACTGACTAGCCGCTCATCCGTTATACTACAACTATTTAAAACTGTAATGACTCATACGCGTGCTCAACACGTGATCAGAGCTCGATCCCGGCTTCCTTCCAGTACAGCCGTATAGCGTACGACATATGTCGTTTCTGTGGCTTTGCGGTGGTCAACAGCACAGGCAGAGATGGAAATAATGGCTGATTGTTCTCCGCCGGTAGAACCAATGAAATCAAAGATGCGCCTCGACCGGCAGACTCATAGGCGTCGGCAACGCATTGGAACGTGTTTCGTTGAGCGATCGCATATTGTGTGTTTTTATAAGAATTGTTGTGTGATTGTTATTGTTGTGGTTTCTGTGGTTACTGTTTTGGTTGTACTTAACCATGGAGAGTACAAATGGCACGAGTGGAAGTACTGAAAGCCAGGGAATAAGTAGACGGCTTCGTAAAGCACTGAAGAGGGAGGCGAAAGAAATCGTGCTCAACGTGTTCAATTATCTGAACAGAACTATGTCGCAGGGAGATGCACTCGCGCGTTGTGAAGGTATGACAGGCGTTCCAGAGTGGACCATTCGCAGGGTGGTGCATGAAAAGAAGAAAACTGGAGCTACTACTGATCCAAAGTTTAATTTGAAGGGACGAAAGGCCGTTAAATTGGATGACGATAGCAAAATGGCGTTAAGGCGAACCGTACATTCATTCTTCTTTAGGAATGAGATACCAACCCTCAAGGCTGTACATGCAGCGATCAAGGAAAATGAAATTATACCCCAAATGAGCGTCGAGGTAATGAGGAAATCCCTGCACGAAAATAATTTTCGTTACGAAACGCGTAATCGGAAGTCAGTATTGATAGAGAGACCTGAAATAGGCGCCTGGCGTCGAAAATACCTACGCGAAATGATTGAATATAGGCGACAAAGCAGAAAAATCTATTATTTGGACGAGACATGGGTAAATGCAGGTCACATAGTTAAAAAACCTGGATAGACAAAAACGTACTGAGTAACCGACAAGCAAGCATTAAAGGTTTGGCAACAGGTCTCCGTGGACCGTCAGGGAAAGGTCAAAGATTGATCGTAACTCATATTGGTAGCGATAATGGCTTTTTAGAAGAGTGTGACTTGATTTTCGTCTCTAAGAAAGGAGGTGATTACCATGACGAAATGAATGCCAGCTGCTTCGAGAGCTGGTTTCAAGGGGTGCTTCAGCGAGTTGAGCCCAACTGTGTGATCGTCATGGATAATGCTTCCTACCATAGTCGTCGAGCCGAACATGTACCGACTATGGGATCTCGAAAAAGTGACATGCAGCAATGGTTGCGCGTAAAAGGAATCCCGTTTGACGATTCATGTGTGAAAGCGGAATTGTATGAAAAAATTAAACCGCCCTACCACTGTGAACTGAACCCAATAGAGCTCATCTGGGCTCAAGTGAAGGGTTATATTGCGCGCCATAACACAACCTTCAAATTACCAGACGTTAAGGTTTTACTTGAGACTTCCATACAGCTAGTAACGCCCGAAGCTTGGCAGAATGCTATCCGTCATGTTGTGAAGGAAGAAACAAAAATGTGGCAGCTTGACCACCACATCGACACCATCATAGAGCCAGTTATAGTCAATTTCAACGAGGAAAGCGATAGCGACAGTTTATTACTATCAAATGTAAGTGGAAGCGACGATGAATAAAGGTAATTCCCAAATTTTTGACTTACAATATGTTTCAAACCACTCTTTATTAAGCATGTGACAAATCTAGTTCACCCATGTTAAACATTCATACCCCGCCTATGAACAGCCGACTACTGGTAGTTAAGTGATGTTCACGTGAACATCGATGAGTCATTACAGTTTTTGATAGTTATAGTATAGTTAGGAAGGTTCTCTACCGAATCCAGTCGGTGCGCCCACGCTCCGAAGTACAGTCATGGCGAAAGAAAATGAGTCTTATTACTTTTCGGACAAACCCTGTATGCATACTGTGCAGAAGATGATGCTATGTTTGAACATTTTTGTTGTGTTAAAAGAATTCATCACTATTTATGAACAAAACTTGCCTGAATTTAACGGTTCAGCAACTGCACTTTCCTTCTTTGTATCTGCCAGAATTATTTTGTTTCTTGAATTCATTTTAGTTCGCTTTGAAAACTGCCCTTTTCATACAGCTAATTTTAGAAACGTTTTCGCTATTAATTACCGTAACCTCAAACTATGCCGCGAAAAGCATAGTAAGTCAGTCTAACAGTAAGTTAGGCTTTTCGTGATTTTTTGCATCGAAGACTAAAGTGGGTAACTCAATTTGATGAAGTTTTCGCGGGAGCAACCACCACTATTATACTTACTACTATGATAGTCTATGCTAGCTTAGATATTTATACTCACCCACAAACTATCACGTACATACATACACACATCGATAGTATTACGTTTATTGAGTATATTAGCAGAACTACCGAAAATGCTTTTTCGAAATCATATATATACCTAAAAAAATGATTGTTTATGTGATATGATTAAAAAAATAGATAACCTTTCTTGTATCTACAGTATATTCAGATAAGAGATAGACCGGATGTAAACAAAAGGTTCGGGTGATTTTCACGCTAACGCCGCCGTCTCGACGTAAAACAGGAGCCCTCATTGGTCAATTCGCAATTAAATGCCTATGCCGAGCGGCAGAGCAGTCGTATCAAGGCAGAGTCACATTCAGGTTCAGACGTGTTACGTATGTCGTGTGCATCATTGCAATTTGATATTTCTTTGGACGTTTTCGTTTGTTATATTATTAAGTTGTTGAGTTTGTCGTGGTTATTGTTATACCTTATTATTGATTGTTATTGTTATCAATTGCTTGCGCAAAAGGCCCAGTAGTACAGATACTGCCGATGAAGTTGTAAACTCCTGTAGTCCACCTAGGAAACGCTCTAAAAAAAGACACCTGAGTGCAGAAATGAAAGAGGTCATTTTGAATATATATAAGATCGAGCGCGAGGAGAACGAGGCATTAACCATCAAAGAAATTGTTGTGAAGGTTTCTCACAAAGTTGGGGTGTGTCGCGCATCAGTGTTTAATGTGTTAAGACAATACAAAAAAAATCACACCTTTTCTGTGCATGAATTCTTCTTTAGGAATGAAATACCTACTATAGATAAAGTACTGCAGGAGGTAAATGGAGATACAACGTTGCCAAATTTCAAACGATCAACTTTCCATGCGTTACTGAAGCATTTAAATTTCAAATGGAAAAAACGGGGTCATAATAGTTTACTACTGGATAGAGAAGAAATTGTGCTATGAGGAGGGATTATTTAACAAAAATTGGGAAATATAGAAATCAAAACAGGAAGATTTATTACCTTGATGAAACGTGGGTAAACGCAGGACACACTACAAGTAAAGTATGGGTTGATGATTCTGTAACTTCATCCAGGAGGGCCTTTCTAGATGGACTGTCCACCGGATTAAAAAATCCAGCAGGTAAATACGAGTAATAGACAACAATCGGATGTTTTTCAAACCTTGGGAACAAGGTTCTAAACATTAATTCCAGGGGGCAGATAAAACATATTACAAGTAACAAAACTTTTATAACTTTCGATAAAATGCGTGGATGTTTTATTGTCATTTTCATTTGTTGGAACTTTTTTAAGCCATGTTTTTATGTGTTTTCGATATTTCAATAATTTTTTAATATAATCTTAAAATATGTCGAATATTATAAACTTAAAAAAAGTTACTAAGTTTTATATTGTGTACCGTTCCTAATATTTCTAATCATTTTAATTCATACTTTAAGCTTTATAAAGTTATAATTTGTTAATATTAATATTTGCGCGTATTTCAGGTTCCTGATCATTCATTTTAGGTTTATAACTTTAAATTAAATTGTGAAGCGCTGAGTAATCATACGACGTTCAATATTCTTTCTTTCAATATGACTAAATAATCCCAATTATAGCAATCTGATACTCATGTCTCAATGTTTTTTCGCTGAATGTGATGAAAACATTTGAAAAAGGTTCGCTTATTGAAATAAATCTACCCCAGTTAGTACTTCGATTTCCAGGTAAAGGGAAAAGGCTCATTATCTGCCATATTGGCAGTGAGGATGGATTTGTTGTTGACGGTCTGTGGTGCTTTGAGTCTAAGAAAACTGGAGATTACCACGAGGAAATGAATGGCGAATCGTTTGAACAGTGGTTTTCAAAAATTTTACCGAGCTTAGAGGAAAACGCAGTAATTGTGTGTCATTCTCGAAGAATGGAGAAGGTCCCAACAACGGCTTCAAGGAAAGTTGATGTTCAAAATTGGCTCCGCTCGAAAAATATCAACTTTGAAGAAGCAATGCTGAAAGTACAATTATTAAGAATTGTCAAGGATCACAAGGCGGAATATCAAAAATACGCCATTGACGAAATGGCAGCAAGTCAAAATAAAACTGTGCTCCGTTTACCTCCATACCATTGCGAGCTCAATCCGATTGAGCTCATATGGGCAGAGGTTAAAAATTATATAGCTAAGCACAATACAACTTTTAAATTTTGTGACCTCAAAGGACTTTTCAAAGAAGCACTAGAATTAATAACAGCGCAAAAATGGGAAAACTGTATTAAGCACGTGAAAGACAAAGTTGAAAAGAGAATGTGGGAACTGGACAATATTTTAGAGGAACAAGTCGAGCCATTCATTATTGACGTTGGTGCTTCAGGCAGTAGCGATGATGAAAGCTCATCAAGCTCATCTTTCCAATAAAAGATGTCGTTCATCAAATTCGGTAAGTTATAAGTAATTATAAAGCTACTGTATTTTTTAATTAATTATTGACATTTTTGAACCCATTTTGGCAAAACCTATTCAAGAATCTACTTTCTGACAATGTTCAACCATGCACATTTTTTTACGTTTTGAACGTTTTAATTTGGTTACATATTTACCTAGAAATCAAAAAATATACTAATCAATATTCTAAAAGCAATTTTAAGAGATATACGATTATTTTTAATTTAGGCTAATTTAAACGCCATTTTGAGATTATATTCGACTGTATTTCACCAAACATCAGGCGGCATCCGAAGCTGGAAATCGAAGCGAAAATTTTGAAACCCTTATGTATATTTACATCATTATATATTTCTTACCCCACCCCCACATGATCCTATATCCATCACCAATCGTATACACATCGAATTGTGCTAACCTACTACAAAGTTACGCAAAGAAGCATCTACTATCTAAAATATGTACTGCGTGACTCTTAATACGTCCCTGCCGAATGTTACAGCGTTCGATGATCACGTGGTCTTGTTTATGTCCGGTCTATCTCTTATCTGAATATACTGTAGTCTGGTAACTTTACTACATTTACTACCCTTACCCCCCACCCCCAAAAATGTGTGGCTTGCTATCCTCTCATCGAGGTACTTTTTAGCGTGAGCGTCAGAGCAGTTACAGTTCGCCTTTTATAGAAAACGATACAGGGTGTCCAAATACTGTGTCAAAGCTCAATATTTTCGTTACTATTAGAGTTGCAGAAAAAGGTTAAATAAAAAAGTCACAGAGCTACAATATAAAATAATTTTCAGCTATACAGGGTGGCAATATACAGGGTGTTCCTTAATGATATGCGAATATTTTAAGTTTGCTCTGTAAACTATGGACCAAAAATGTTTCCTTACAAAAACTCGGGGTGTTGAAGTTTTAGGAAAAAAATGGAAATTGGTTATTATTTTAAAAACCGCTTCAGATATTTCACTGATATTTAGTACGTAGTGGAAGTTAACTAAGTTGCATATTTTTTAATGCAACAATAATTTTTAGCTTTAACAGTGGCGTGCGTACGGGTATTGACTTCGATATCTTTTAAGAAAAAAATTGTACGCCAATCGTTTTTTGCCAAATAAAAATATTTTTGAATTCTTCGTTCAATTTAAAACAAATCATTTCTCTTGAATGGTTTTCCTTCGGTTCGCCATTTTTGAGTAAAAAAATAAAAACTGTCCTATTGTATCACTTGCAAAATTATTATTAATTTAATTGGAAAATTAAATACATTAGGGGTAATGAACAACAACAACAACTGACAAAATAACATAACATTAAAACCAACGAAATGATTACAAAAATTGTTGAAAATGCCCCCCTTCACTTAGTATGCATGCTTCCACCCTCCTTCTCATGAAATTGCTCACTCGTTGAAATATCTCTGGAGTGTTTTTTATTCCATCACAAGCTGCAACTATTCTTTCTCTTAATTCCTCTACAGTGTTAATGGGACTTGTATACACTAGTGTCTTAAGATAGCCCCACAAAAGGAAATCTAAACTATGAGGTCTGGGGACCTTGGTGGCCATTCTTGGGGCCCACCGCGGCCAATCCAACGATTTGGATAAACAGTTTGTAAATAATTACACTGAAATGGTTTGTACTGGGTATTTCGGAATGTATAGCCACCTTTTCGTTAAAATCATTTTTTTGAAGATATTGTTATGTTCAAGAAATTTATTGGTGGAATAAATGATATGATAATGATGACATTATATTTTCTTTAAAAATACCATTTAAACCTGCTTGTAACGTTTGCATCTAGTTTTAACTACTAAGGATTGGCTAGACCTAGGTGTAGCCGCAATCAAATTGGTTGGACCAAGCCTTAACCGAATGCACCTGGCTAATACTAGGTTTGGCGGTGAATGTATAGGTTACACCACAGCCGACGTCAACTACGAGCGGTGAACAAAGAAATTTGGCAACGTAGGTGGTAGTGTTACTCCCGCCGCTGCTTGCTGCATCGACGCAACTCGTGCTCAAAACGCTGAGAAAACATAACCTTTTCAATTTGTGATTTTGGAATCCCAGAGGCTGTAATTAAGAGATAAGCTCGTTTTCTAAGCTTCAAAGTGTGTGTATGTGTTCAAAGTGATCGGTGACTATAATATATGAGAAATAGACTCCAGTTGTAGAGCTTCTGTGCTTTAAAAATAAACTAAGAAGTGTGACTGTGGCTGTTCGCGCCTCAGGACGCTAAGGATTTCAACTATTGAAAACGTGCAAATTCAGGTTGTATTTTTCTTTTTTCATTTATCAAGTATTTGACGCAGACAATATGCCTCGTTGTTGCTGTGTTCCTTTATGCAATGCAAACTATAATTCTGCTTTGAAAACAGAAATCTATGTTTCAACTTTTCGCTTCCCAAGTACCGAAAGTTTGAAAAACAAATGGCTTATGGCAATTCCCAGAAAAAATTGGACACCTTCAAAATATTCAGCTGTGTGCAGTCGTCATTTTAGAGAATCGGATATCATCAGGACAGAAAATATAGTTTTGGCGGATGGAACAGTCCAAAATAATATACCTTTGAAATATCCAAAATTGAAAGAAAATGCTGTTCCCTCCATTTTCCCAAACTTGCCATCATATCTTTCAAAAACTGAAGCACCCAAAAGAACTGACCCAATGCAAGGAAAACAAAAATTAATTGAGAAACATGAAAAAGCTATCCAGAATTTCGATGTTATGGATAAGATCAAAGATAAATTTAGTTCAAAAATGTGGATTTGAAGTTCTTTGTGTTGTTACTGATAATCACCGAATTAATAGAGCAATGTTCAGGAAATTAGCAAAGGATTCATCAGAAAATTATTCTATTCCAAATCCACATAATCCTGATAAGAACATATATTTAACTTATGATGTTGTGCATATTTTCAAGAGTATCAGAAATAATTGGATTAATTTAAAAAACCTAGACAAAACTTTTGTATATCCTAATTTTGACAATAATGATATTATTCAGTATGCTAAATTTGAAAACATTCGTGCTGTATATCAATTGGAAAAAGAAGCTGTAGTTAAGAAAGCATATAAATTAAATTATAAAACATTGCATCCAAATTCAGAAAGGCAAAATGTAAATTTTGTAGATAATTTATTCCATCACTCAACAATAGCTGCTATGAAAGAATTAAAGTTTAATGATGCTGCACACTTTTTGGAAATAATCAGGAATTGGTGGGATATTGTCAGTAATACAAGTGTAATAAAAGGGGAATTGAAGCGAAACGAATTTTGTAAGCCTATTACCAATAAATATGATTATAGAGTACAATTTTTAAAAAAAATCCTGATATGGTTAGAAAAATGGCATAATCTAGAGAATAATAATGGACACCTGACACCAGAAACGTATACAGCTCTATATCAAAGCACGCTGACTCTACTTAATATAATTGAATATTCATTTAATCAATTTGACATTGAGTATGTATTGCCTGGAAAATTCACCACTGATAATTTAGAAAAACGATTTGGCAATTATAGACTTTTATGTGGCTGCAATTACAATGTGTCATATGATAAAATTTTAAATGCTGAAAAGAAAATACGGCTGAAGCATATTTTCAATGAAAAGACATCGTCATTTTCTTTAGCAGAAATTAAAACAAGGTTCCAAAACTGCTTAGAAACTCAAGAAAATTTTGATTTCTTGGATACCAAACAAAATCCTGAAGTTTTGGATATATTCAATGAAGTATTTGAGACAAATTACTTAGCCAATTGTGACATAGAGCATAGTACTAAGACTTATATAATATGCTTCACACGCTATCTCTAAAAACCTAAACTGCGAGATATGCAAATCGCTAGTAGTTAACGAAAAAGGTTCATTAACAACAAATGTTTATTTTGATCATTTGCAAAGAGGAGGACTGTCAATTCCCACCAGTTATGTACCAATCATATTCTACCATACGTATGCCATTTTTGAATCTATTATTAATGTAGATAGATTGGAAATTTTCTTCTTGAAAAGCAATAATCAAAAATTTATTTTGTGTCAGTTAACCTTGCTCAGCGTTCAGTCTGACTTTATATACAGTGAATTTTCTTTAACTTGCATCTGTGGCCGCAATTATGCAGATATTTTATCTAAGCTTTTGTCTATTTTTTCAAACATAATTTTGAATGATTATGTAAAATTGAAAAATAACAGTAAAACTGAAAGTAAATGTATTAAAAACAAACAGGTAACTCCACATTTCCAAGCTGGGCCTGTTGGAACACAGTGTGCTGACACCAAAAAACGTAAACTAAATACTGTTAATTAGGTTAACTGCATTAGCGACTCATATATATCACGATTATTTCGTATTTTTAAATTTTTTAGAGCTATTTCATATTCAGACGCTTTGTATCGAATCGAACTGTCCTCTTTTCCAAAATTAAATTTAGTTCTTGAACGTTACACGGAGAGATAGTTTTCATGCCTATTGTTCATCATCATCATTGTCTTTTTTGACTGCAAACATGCACTGTGTACTTAGCAGTAAATAAAGATTTGATTTGATTTGATTTCCTGGGCAAACATGCTTACCCTATTAAAAAATTGTACTGATCTACACATTCGATGATGTTGCTTCTAATCAAATCTGAGTTTCCATGTTTTAGATCAAAGATGTTCCGTATCTTCTTATTCAACATTATAAACTGGAGCTGCAGGAGGGTCAACAGTGTCATAATTAAATTATCAAAACAGCACAGACTTGTCGTTGCCCCTATGCAAGCACTGTCCTGTATTATCAGCAAGACAAATCTTGGCAACCACTCGGGCTTATAACACCTGCAAGTACATAGGAGGATCTCAGATCATTGTTTTTTTTAAATAATTATTATTGTATTTCGGGCAACGTAAATTAATTTTATTTCATTCGTACAACGTTTCGGCCATCTAGGCCGTCGTCAGGTACATAGTATTCTGGAAAATATTAAAATTGTTACAAAAAGTATGTCTTATAATACGGGGTATCTCACTTACTAGTGAAGATAGAGAGTTGCGGTTTTTGCAACGCTGTGCTACTTTTTTGCGAAAAGTAAGATGGTTTAAACAACATTTTCGTAGCCCACTTCGTTTCTAAGAAACAGGGCGAAATTGAAAATATTGCATTTTGGGACCCCCTCGTATCTCCGTTATCCTTCAACACATCGCAAAGCTAAAAACTAGCTCTTATACCATTGTTCATGTAGAATCCAGTGGCGTAGTCAGATGAAATGTCAATTTTTAGCTATAAATGAAACTTAGTTTTTTTTAATGGGACACCCTGATATTTTTTGATAAGTTTATAAGCTTTACAAAAATATATAACACATGCATTTTGAATAATAAATCTAAAATTCACAATTTCAAAAATTTGATATCTGTTTGTCACGCGCTAACATCACGTAACCTTCTTTTTTACTGTTTTGATCACTTATCAGTAATTTGAATTTCTCTTTATTGTGCCCATTCCTAGACCAAACCCTTTTTAATCATTTTATTTTGGTAAATTTCATAGCTTATTGATTGTAGAATTTCACACGTATTATATCCGTCATTCTTAGCGACTCAGTATTGTATTGAAATCTTTCTTCTATCTGAGAAATTTCCTCATAAAATATTGTTGGTCCCTCGTAGACAGATTTGTTTCGGCCTACAGTCTGTCCATAGGCAACCAGCGCGCCATCTTGTCAGCTTGTTTAGCCGTATATGAATGTTTACCTTACTATCAAGATACCTTCTTTACCGGCTTTTATCTGTTCCTTTTGATGTTCTGTCGAACGTGCCCTCTTCAGGGCCACTTATTCAACCTTCTTTTAGGGGGTTGCGCGCCCAGACAGTCCAGCGCCATTTTCTTTCTGCTGTGATTTTGGTTGTGTGCGGGCATTTTTTTCGTTAACTTCCAGATTTTGTGCCCCAAGCACCAGTTTATGGAGTAGTACCCTTTTATTTTGTACCTTACCGTTAGTTGTGTTGGTTTGGGTACTACCACCCGTCCATTTTTTATGGGATTTTAACCTCCAGCGGTAATTTTTTTTTGTATACCATCGGACTATGTCCATTAATGCCTGTCCTGAAGAAGTTTGTTCAATATCTGATTCCTTTTAGTAGAAAGCCATTGTGGAGAACCACCATTCACACTCCTCCGCCTTTGTTTTGTAGGTGCCTTGTAGCTGTTTCGCAGCCGAATTTGTTGGAAGCCAGCTCTTCCCCTTGATGAAAAACCCTGATGTGAACAGCTAAAATATCATTTTAGTGGGTATTTTATAGATATTGATTCTTCATGACTGACATTCTTAGAGTGTTCTAAATTTGGTTATCTTTTTTTGCTCTTACAGAAAGAAAAGTAAATTTCTAGTAACAAAGAATGTAAATGGATTTTTTTTTCAAGTTTTGAGTCTTTTAAATGAGTAGTTCTGTCTCAGGCATAGAGTGGAGAGTAGATTTTTAAACAGTCGTTTTCTTTCTCTGGGGTTTTTTTATACCATAAAGCAGCCCCTACGTTGTGACGTTCCTTACGTCGCTGCTCACTACTGGCCACTGATTTTTTGACCTGAGCATTTGTAAGCTGTGGACATCTCAGCTACGCCTAGAGCTGTAACTGGAAGAAGACCATTGTCCAGTTAAGTTTAGGTTTAGGCGTTGAAATATTTGTAAGACCTATATCCGTACGTGTACCATGGTAAACGTTTTACAGGGTTAGTTATTACGGTCTATTAATTTTATTGTCAGGTAGTTTTTAATAACATCTTTTCTTTTAACTTGCGTTCCAGTGGTGGAGCATATGTGCTGCTTGTTTTGGCAATACATTGTTATTTTTTTTATATCTTGTTTCTCTGTATATAGTTATCATCATTACTGTTAGACTCTTTTCTTTGTGTGGTGGTCAAGCAAGACAAGTTCCGACTAACATCTAGGGGATTCGTGTCTTAATCCGTCTTGAGTCACTGGCGCTCTTAACCCCCCCTACTCTCCGATTTATTGAGCTATGGCCTAAATTTGCACGTTACTTGACAGCTGTTTTGCATTGGCCGACCCTTAGATTTCATTTATAGTAATGTACTAAGACATTAATTAATTTGATTTAAAAAAAGAGGAAAGAGGAATCACACCACCATTTCCCCTTATTTATAAAAAAAGGCGTGGCATGTTTATAAGCCAAACATTTAAAAAGTGCAAAAATCTTGCTTAAGACTATGGTATACGCATATCAAGCAGTCTCTCACAAATTATATTATGTAGAGTGGATAAACATGTATAACAGATGGGTATTGCACGAGGCTTGTTTCTATCATAGATTAATAATTGCTAAACAGCCCATATACAGGGTGTCCCGAAAAAAGTGTGCAATATTCTACCAGCGGTTTCTAGAGCTTAGAATAGGATGAAAAGTTTATATAAACATAGGTCGACAAACGTCCCCTAAGGGCGCTACGGTCCTTTAAAGGGGCTCCCCTGAAGATGGTTTTTCCTTAATATTTCCGAAACGTGTTGAGATAAGGACATAAAATTTAGTATTATAGACTAGTTTTTTATGCTGGATTTAAAAATATTAACAGTTTTAGACAGTTTTGTTTGGAAGCGTATGTAACAGGGACGGACTCAGGTTATTTTAGCCCAAAAATTTTTGTGTGATTCTATTTTTGAAATTCAATTTTAGAATTTGAAACTTTAGGGTTTTCTACATAGAAAAGGTACTCTTATTGAATATCGATAAATTGTGCCATTTTTAAATAAAATCAAACTAAAGAATTTGTCACATGATAGGAAATGTTCTGCGAATTTAAATTACACAGATTATGTCTCATCAGTGGCGCAATCTGAACTTCGCCTTTCGCCAAACTCTTTTTTTAATATAAATGTTTAAGTTTATTTGTTGATGTTTGGCGAATAAAGACGTTTGTTATTATTATTATTATTATTAATTTACGTTGTCGGAAACCCAATGATTTTTATTCTAAAAGGTTATACTAACGGTAACGAATATAATAAGGAATAGTTGGATCATTGTGAAATGTCCCAGCGTAAAGACAGTTGCCCCATTCACCTGTGCTTCTGTTAGAAGTTATGGGCAAGAATATGCGGTCTAAGTTCACCCCCTTTTTATTTGATTTTACCCTGATTGAAGACATAGCGAGATTCGTCTCATCATTTTATACTAAGTGACATATAAATCCGAACACCCAGTTTAAATGGTTTTATTTTAATAAAAGTTGATGAATGTATTTATCTTACTGTAAATAACAAGTGAAAAAATTTTCAGCCTTATAAGTTACACATTCCGGTTTTTATACTGCTTTTTTTTAATTCACTAACGCTCTAAAAATGAATATTTCAGCCGCAGTAAAGAATCAACGTTGGCGGATTTTGGTTCTTGACATCCTTTACGATCGGTTACGATGCCTAGAGTACGGAGACCTGTACGATTTCGTCAACTTAGTGAGTTTGATAGGGGCCGTATAGTGGGACTTCGGGAAGCTGGACTTTCTTTTCGGGCAATTGCAGTTAGAGTGCAAAGAAGTGTAGACACTGTGGTTAGGTGTTTGCAGGCATGGCTTCGAGAAGGCCGTACGCAAAGAGCAAGGGGCACTGGACGCCGCCGTAGAACAACAGACCGTGAAGATCGCCGCCTAAGATTATTGGCCTTAAGGGACCGTTTCTCCACTACCGGGTCCATTGCAAATGAATGGTTTGCAGAACACGGAAGACCTATTGGCATGCGAAGTGTTTACCGACGAATGAGAAGTTTTGGCTTGTTTTCATACCGGCCACACTGGGTCCTCCCTTTAACTCGGGAACACCGACGGAATCGCCTTGAGTGGTGCAGACAACGGTCACACTGGGATCAGGTATGGAACAGTATTGTCTTTAGTGACGAGTGTCGATTTTGTTTAGGCATGCACGATGGTCGTGCCAGGGTTAGAAGGCGACGTGGTGAAAGGAGGAATCCACAGTTTTTTGTTGAAAGACATGTTCATCACACTGTTGGAGTTATGGTTTGGGGTGCTACAGCTTAGGGTTCCAGGTCACCTTTAATCTTCATCAGAGGTAACATGAACGCGCAGCGTTATATCCACGAAGTTCTAGAACCCCATCTTTTACCCTATCTTGACACCCTGGCAGATCCAACTTTCCAACAAGATAATGCCCCACTACATGTTGCAAGAGTCACAATAAACTTCTTTCAACATAATGATATCACATTGTTACCATGGCCACCAAGATCTCCCGACTTATCCCCAATTGAGCACGTGTGGGATATGATGGGTAGGAGATTGCTCAATTTGCAACGTCCTCCTCAGACTCTAGAAGCACTTCGAGAGGAGTTGGTGGTTGACTGGAATGAGATACCACAGGAGGACATTGACCACCTGATCAGAAGCATGCCTAGGCGCGTTGGAGAATGCGTAGCACATCAGGGTGCATCCACACATTATTAAAGGTCAAAGGGTTTTAAAGCAGTGCAATCATTTTGAAATTTTTATCGTTTACTTATTATGCTTCATGAAGTACTTATACAAAATTTTATTAAAATAAAACCATTTAAACTGGGTGTTCGGATTTATATGTCACTTAGTATATCTGGTCTGAACCAAACTGGAACGATTTACATTTTAGGTGAATGTGCACCAGGAAGGTAATGTGTAGCACATCCATCATTTTTGAAATGATCTTGTCTCATTATTATGCAGCGTTTTTGAAAAATCCCCGTTATTCAGGTTAGTCACATGAAATTTAGAATGCAAAATTGATGCATGATGAATGCTATATTTTTATGTAAAAGGGGCCATTTGAAATTATCGAGC